GCTGGCGCGCAAGCTCGTGCTCACGGGCTTCGTGCTGCTGATCCCCGAGAAGAACGCCTTTCTTCGCCTCGTGGTGGCGACCCTCGTCTGCTCGTGCTATGTCGCGCTTGTCGCCGCCACCAAACCGTACAAGCGGGTCGAGGACAACTTTCTAGCCGTCGCCACGAGCCTCGCGCTCCTCCTCCTCTTCCTCGGCACCAACTGGACCACCATCTTCCTCGGCATCGAGGAGCGCTCCGGGACTGATGATGCCGATGCAGTCCTCGGTTTCGGCAGCCTCAATGGGATCGTGGACACGATGATCGTCCTCGTCGTTTTTGCGCTCGTGGTCTTCTTAATCGGTGCCGTCGTCGCCGCCCGCCGCGTCGCCAAGGTCCCCACAGTCCGTCTCGTCTCGACCAAGCAGCCCCCCGAGCTGAGCATCGGGACCGGCCTCACATGGCACCTGTTCCTCTCGCACATCTGGTGCGTCGCGCAGCTAGGGAGGCTGATCAAGCCAGGCCGCATCCAACTGCACCCCCCTAACCATGCAGGTCGACCGGTCAAGACGCCGTCGGAAACATCAAGAGTGAGCTCCAGCTGCTGGTGCCGGGCCTCAAGATCTTTCTCGACGCGCGCACAGGCTCAGCCGCGCTGCTCTAGCTACACACAGCCCTTCTGACGCACCGCGGAGTGCGCACAGGTGGATGATCTCAAGGATATTGGGTCGCTGGAGGAGTACATCCAGCACTCGCAGGTCATCCTCTTCTTCCTCTCGTGTGGCTACTTCCGCTCCAAGGCGCGCTCTCGCCGCCCTGTCCCGCGCTGGGGATCCTCTGGCTCTCAACGCACCCGAGTCTGCTGCGCCCCTCGACACTCCCCACGGCTCACCGCCCGCCTGCTTGCGTGCCACCAGAACTGCCTCCGCGAGATCCGCTCGTCGCTCGAGCAGAGCAAGCCGCTCGTCCTCGTCCAAGAGGCGGACCCTGCAAAGGGCGGCGCGACGCTGCAGGCGCTGCGCGACGAGTGCCCCGAGGACCTGCAGCCCGACATCTTTGAAAAGGGCTGGGCGCACACCACCTACATGCGAATCCAGGAGTTCCAGCGCGTCTCGTTCAAGACCATCGTCGAGGCGCAGCGGGACACAGCCGCAGCCCTCTCGCCCCTCCCGAGACCTCAGCCCCGGCACCCTTGAACCACAGGCTGTGCTCCTCTGCTCGCCCAACTACGTGAACCAGAGCTCCCTCCCGCTCTGCGTGCCGGGCGAGCCCGAGAGCCAGCCGCTCGCCTTTGCCAAGGACACCATGCTCTGGGCTTCGCCGGCCAACGCGGGTGCACAGGTCTTGGCTGAAGAGATTGCCACCACTTTTGCCGGTCTCACGATCTCCACCGCCGAGGCGCCCGGGTCAGCGACCCACATGCTGCTCTACCTCAACGAGGACAGCTTCAGCGACGAGCGGCTGGCCGAGCAGGTCAAGCAGGCGCGCAAAGACAAGCTGAAGATCGTCATGGCGCACGAGAACGACCCGGACCTCGGTGGCTGCCTCTTCTCGAAGTTTTTCGAAGTCACCCCGCAGGAGCGGGCTGGGGTTGGTCATTATGCTCTCAGTCTCAGGTGCTTAATCTCCCCTCACCCGCGTACCCTCCCTTGCAGGAGCTCATCGCCGACGGACTCTACAAGGACCTCGCGCGCTCGTGCTTCCCGGGGCGCCACCACCCGGCGCGCGCTTCGTCTCTCTCCACATCTCGCCTTGCGCATCGGCGGTACTCACCAGCCAGGGCGCTCCGGTCCGCAGGTGTCGCTCGCGCTTCTGGCAAAGGACCTCGGCGCGACTCCCGCTCGGTCGGGCAGCGTCGCAAGCATGTGCCGCCTCTCGGCCAGCATCGCCGAGCACGGCAGCCGGCTCTTCCTCAAGATCAGCCGCCGCAGCTCTGCGACGGCAACCACCGCGGGCGACGGCTCTGGAGGCGAGGCGACGGTCTCGGTGGACTCGGTGGAGGCTTTGGCCTCGGCGGAGGCTTCGCAGGAGCACGTCTAACTTCGGCGGCCGCACTCACGGCAGACGCCACAGCACACAGACGCCATCTTGAGCAATTCACATGAACATGAGCAGGGGCGCCACGCCAGCGACCCGCCGGGGAGGAGGGGTGGGAGGCGTTTGCCGCGTCGGCGATCCCCACGGGATTGGGTCAGTGATGGGGGCCTTCGCGCAGCGGTGTGCTGCGCGGCGCGCCTTCCTTCTCTGGAGGCAGCGGAGAGGCGTAGTTTGGGGGAAGGCGTTAGGGAGGGGGATGATGCACAGCGAGGCGCCGTGGCCGTAGTTGCCTGCGAGGCGTCTCTCTCGCGCGCGCCGGCCAGCTGGCGGGCGGCAGCGCTGGGGTCCTAGATTGGGAAGGGTTGAGGCAGAGGGGAGACAAAGAGGGTGCTGCGTGCGCACACCGCGCGTCGTTGCATGTACTTGAGCGTGTGCCCCGCGGGAGGTCTCCCACGTTTTTCTTCGAAATTTCTGCTGGTCCGTTGGCCTCTTAGCTCTTTGTACGGTACATTGTAGGGAAAAAGTAACATATCTTTACTTT